ATGTTGCCCCTGACTGACACCCTCCTCGCCCCGCCCACAACGGCGGCCATGTTGCCCCTGACTGACACCCTCCTCGCCCCGCCCACAATGGCGGCCATGTTGTCCCTGACTGACGCCCTCCTCGCCCCGCCCACAATGGCGGCCATGTTGCCCCTGACTGACACCCTCCTCGCCCCGCCCACAACGGCGGCGCGGCGCCAGGAGGAGGAGGCGCTGCTGTCGGAGATGGACGTGACGGGCCAGGCCTTCGAGGACATGCAGGAGCAGAACCTGCGGCTGCTGCAGCAGCTGCGCGAGAAGGACGACGCCAACTTCAAGCTGATGTCGGAGCGCATCAAGGCCAACCAGATCCACAAGCTGCTGCGCGAGGAGAAGGACGAGCTGGCCGAGCAGGTGCTGGCCCTCAAGGCGCAGGTCAGCCCGGGAATTAACCCCGTAATTAATGTAATTAGTGCCCTAATTAGTGCTGATAGCGCCCTCAAGGCGCAGGTCAGCCCCGGGAACGAACCCTTTAATTAATGTAATTAGTGCCGTAATTAGTGCTGATAACGCCCTCAAGGTGCAGGTCAGCCCCGGGAACGAACCCTTTCATTAATGTAATTAGTGCCGTAATTAGTGCTGATAACGCCCTCAAGGCACAGGTCAGCCCTGGGAATTAACCCTGTAATTAATGTAATTAGTGCCCTAATTAGTGCTGATAACGCCCTCAAGGCGCAGGTCAGCCCCGGGAATTAACCCCTGTAATTAATGTAATTAGTGCCGTAATTAGTGCTGATAACACCCTCAAGGCGCAGGTCAGCCATGGGAATTGACCCTTTAATTAATGTAATTAGTGCCGTAATTAGTGCTGATAACGCCCTCAAGGCACAGGTCAGCCCCGGGAACGAACCCTTTAATTAATGTAATTAGTGCCCTAATTAGTGCTGATAACGCCCTCAAGGCGCAGGTCAGCCCCGGGAATTAACCCCTGTAATTAATGTAATTAGTGCCGTAATTAGTGCTGATAACACCCTCAAGGCGCAGGTCAGCCATGGGAATTGACCCTTTAATTAATGTAATTAGTGCCGTAATTAGTGCTGATAACGCCCTCAAGGCACAGGTCAGCCCCGGGAACGAACCCTTTAATTAATGTAATTAGTGCCCTAATTAGTGCTGATAACGAACCCTTTAATTAATGTAATTAGTGCCCTAATTAGTGCTGATAACGCCCTCAAGGCGCAGGTCAGCCCCGGGAATTAACCCCTGTAATTAATGTAATTAGTGCCGTAATTAGTGCTGATAACGCCCTCAAGGCGCAGGTCAGCCCCGGGAATTGACCCTGTAATTAATGTAATTAGTGCCGTAATTAGTGCTGATAGCGCCCTCAAGGCGCAGGTCAGCCCTGGGAATTAACCCTGTAATTAATGTAATTAGTGCCGGTTATTAGTGCTAATAATTGCCTAATAGCAGCTAATAATTGCCTAATAACAGTTAATAATTGCCTGATAACAGCTAATAAAGACCTAATAGCTAATAATTGCCTAATAAAAGCTAATAATTGCCTAATAACAGCTAATAATTGCCTAATAACTGCTAATAATTGCCTAATAGCAGCTAATAAAGGCCCAGAACGGCCGTAATTTCGCCTGTCAGTTGCCCGGTGTTGCTAATGAGTGATTAACGATGGGCGGGTGGCGCACCTGGGCAGGTGGAGGCGCAGCTGCAGGTGGTGCAGAAGCTGGAGGAGAAGGAGCGGGGCCTGCAGAGCGCCCTGGGCGCGGTGGAGAAGGAGCTGAGCCTGCGCTCGCAGGCGCTGGAGCTGCACAAGAGGAAGGTGAGGGGGCTCAGGTGGGCTCAGGTGGGCTCAGGTGTGGGCACAGGTGTGTCCAGGTGTCCCCAGGTGTGTCCCCGGTGTGTCCAGGTGTCCCCAGGTATGTCCCCAGCCCCCCAGGTGTCCCCAGGTGTGTCCCCAGGTGTCCCCCAGGTGTGTCCCCAGCCTTCCCAGCCCCCCCAGGTGTCCCCAGGTGTGTCCCCAGGTGTGTCCCCAGGTATCCCCAGCCCCCCCCAGGTGTCCCCAGGTGTGCCCAGCTGTCCCCAGGTGTCCC